GCCAGCATGAAGATGAAAAGGGTTGAAAAGTACACATTCTCCCTTTAAGAGCACTTCTCTGCTTGCAGTGCAGGAGACACGAGTTCGATTCCTGGGTTGAGACAATCCCTTGGAGAAGAATATTGCAGCTCACTCCCGTATTCTTGCCTGGAAAATTCCATGGACAGAGGAGTTTGGCAGGCTACAGTCCATGGGGTCATAGAGTCAGACATGACTGACTGACTGAACACACATACATAGAAATTATACTCATTATTTTGTGTTAATGTTCCATTGGACAGAACTTAGCCATATGTGCACATCTTACTACAAGGGAGCTGAGAAATGTAGTCTTTATTCTGATCAAATGTAGTCTTTATTCTAGTTCAAATTTGTGGGTTCTATTGCTGAGAAAGTAGAGGAGAATGCATGTTGGGACACCACTAAGCAATCTGCCACAGCTTTGCTGCCTCCTAGCAACAATCACTGTGTTGAAATCAATTCTGACTTCTTACTGGGCTGTAGATTCCTTCAGCCAGGGGCTGTGTCTTTTACCTCTTCGCACAGCTAGGTACTTAACATTTGTTGTACAAATAAATGTTCCAGTGCTACCATCTGATTTTATTTTTTATTTTATTTTTGGCTGCGCTGCAAAGCTTGCAGGATCTTAGTTCCCTGCAGTGGGGGGGTGTGGAATCCACTGGACCACCAGGGAGTTTCCTCCATCTTACTTTGGAAATCAGAGAAGTGAGGCATTGAAGGGTGAAGTGACTGGGATCTTCTAGCTCAGGTTCTCACTGAATACCAGAGGCTACTTGAATGACCTCCTCTGACCATGCCCACTGCCAGGCACTCCCACCTCTGCTGCTGGGCCAGGCCGGCCATCAGTGGCCCTTCCAGGGTGGAGCCACACTTGGCCTCTGCAGAACTCTCCTGTTGGTTCTACTCTGCCCTCCTCAGCATGTGCCCATTTCCATACTTTCCCTGTCCACAGGTCTTCCCTCTGCTGGGCAAAGATGCCTCCCAAGAGTCTTTTTTTTTTTAAAATTTTTGGCTGTGCTGGGTTTTTGCTGCTGTGTGCAGTGGGCTTTCTCTAGTTGCAGTGAGCGAGGGCTGCTCTGTAGTTGCTGTGGGTGAACTTCTCATCTCGGTGGCGTCTCTCGTTGCAGAACACGGGCTCGAGGCCGCAGTAGTTGCAGCTCCAGGGCTCTAGAGCACAGCCTCAGTAGTTGTGGCGCACAGGCTTAACTGCCCCTCGTCGTGTGGAATCTTCCCAGACCGGGGATTGAATCCCAGTCCCCTGCATTGGCAGACAGATTCTCTTACCACTGAGCGACCAGGGAAATCCTTCTGGGAGTCTTCACAGGACATGATCCTCCCGAGGGGTGGGCATATTTGGGCCCTGAGAGCCCTGGGCAGGAGGCAGTCCCACCTTTGTCCTGAATCCTTGCTGGATTAGCAGGAGGGAGGACCTTTGTCACGCCTTGCCAGAACTCAGGACTCCAGCCCCACAGATTCCTTAATGATAGATGAGAAAGTGGTTGACTGCTAACGTGGGACTTGCTTGCTTCACATGTAGAGAAACCTGCTCATCACAACATGGGAGTTGCAGACATAGGACAGGAACATTGTGCTGGTGGCGGTGGGCAGGGAGGGTAGGGTGGCTGGAGGACGCATGTCATGGGTCCCCTGGATGCCGGGTACATTTATTGGTTGGCCAGTGAGAGTCCCTGCGTCTCCCCATGGTGATCCCCTTGCCCTTCGTGAGGGAGCACCTGGGTGTTGGGAAGACCCTCACACCAGATGTTCAGATGTTCCTCTGTCTCAGTGACGGAGGTGTGCAGAGGAGCTTCTTTCTGTTTCCATTGAGCAAGCATTCTGTGCCCTAAGGGAGGGACCTAGACAGCTGAGGGGGGCGTGGGGGAGGGGTGAGGAGGAGTGGGAGGGGGTTTGGTGGGGTGAGTTCTGGGCATCTGTGCAGGAACCAGGGACGGCTGGGGCCTAGCCCTCTCCCCCTCCTCCAAATTTTAAACTTTTAATTTTGAATTGGGGTATAGCCAATTAACAATGTAGTGGTAGTTTCAGGTGAACAGTGAAGGGACTTAGCATCCATATGCCTGTACCTATTCTCCCCCAAACTCCCCTCCCATCCAGGCTGCCACATAACACTGAGCAGAATTCCATACAACAGGTCCTTGTTGGTTATCCATTTAAAATACAGCAGTGTTTACACGACCTTCCCAAAGTCCCTAACTACCCCTTTTTGTTATTAGCCAAGTCACCGTGGACGTGTCGCAGCGCCTTCAGGCTCTCCTGCCTTGACCCGAGAGGAGCTGACTGCCATCGTGGCCTGCCTCTGAGAGCCCATCGCAGCCCCGGCCCGCAGTCTTTGCGGGTCGGCTTGTGCTGTGAGGCCTGACAGCTCTGACTTTTAAGTCGTTGAGCCCCTTCTCAGGCCCAGGCCTGTTCCTCTCTTCTCCATCTCTGCCTTCTGGGAGCCTCTGGCCCTCAGATGGCCTCTGTATCTTCTGAAGCTAACCCCACTCACTGTGGGCCTTGGGCTCTCCTTCTCCTGCTCTGCCCCACAGCGGTGGAGGGACCCTTGTGGGGTAGGGCACTAAACTCTTGAGGGGGACAGCGCCAGGGTGACAAAGACCCCACGGGGGCTCACGCAGGTGCCAAGGTCTCATGGCTTCTCACAGTCGAGGCTTGGCTTCCCAGTTCCTTCCAGGAAGTTCCTTCCAACTTGAACTCTTACTACCCCGAGTGTAGCATTTGAATTCCCTTCCCCTTCTAAAGGCTCTTTTGGCTCAATGGTAAAGAATCTGCCTGCAATGCAGGAGACCTGGGTTCGATCCCTGGGTCAAGAAGATCCCCTGGAGAAGGAAATGGCAACCCACTCCAATATCCTTGCCAGGTGAATCCCATGGATGGAGGAGGCTGGTGGGCTACAGTCCATGGGGTTGCAAGAGTTGGTCATGACTTAGGGACGAAACCACCACCAAGCAAAGCAAAAGGGACCTGTGCCCAGGCTGGGCACCCTGTACTGAATGTCTGACAGGCCATGTGGGGATGGGTAGGCCTCTGTTTCTTGTTGGACACACAGTTTCTTATCTTTGGGGGCTTCTCTTGCTCTCTTCTAACCCGGCCACTAGGGGCTTGGGAGTTGGTGGTGTGAATTTAGATCCTAGGCCTTTAAGCAAAAGCTCAGAAAAATCATCCTACCCAGCACTAAATATCAGATGAGTCAGATTCTGGGTAGTCACCACTCTCCTCCCCCAGGTGCCCTGGCAGAGCATGGAAGGATGTCTGGGAGCTGTGTCACTCTGCCAGCCACTGGGACCCAGAGCCACCCTGCGGTGCTGTTCTAACCCCTGATGCCAGGGAGTGCTGTTGGCGTTTTACTCAGTGATTTTAGGGGAGGGAGCCTGGGATGGGCCTGTGTTGTCTCCCCACCCCAGCGCTCTCTATGGCCATGCTGGACTTATGCTTGTCCTCACACCCTGGTGGATGAGGGCAGCTCCCACGTAGCAGATGTAACCTGATGGGGCATTTCTGAGAACAGCCCCATCTGAGAAAGGCAGACTCCGCACCCTGGCGCTTGTTAGCCTGTCCTGGAACCACTGCCATGTGGCTTGGCCCACAGGGTGTTGTGGGCAGGTGAGTCCGCACAGAGGGAATCATCCTTTATTTGGGCAAACGTGTGGTGGTAGAATGGTTGAGAAGCCAGGCGTGCAGTGGTCCACCCCTGGAGGCAGCGGGGAGAGGAAGGGCTGCTGAAGGTGGTGGCGGTGGAGGGGGGGGGGGACAAGAGGCAGGGGATTGGACCTCTTGGCTAAGGGAGTGGGGCGGGCAGGCCTGGAGAGAGGAGCAAAGCAGAGACCCACAGGTGGGAAGATTCCAGAGGCTTGGTTTTATTATACAGTATTCTTTTTCCTCAACGAGATGCCATAAGCTGTGCTGGCACTACACACGGTCACGAGACATGGCAGAGTTGCCGGGTGGGGAGCTGGGTGCTGGGAAAAGCCATTGCTCGAGATAGGTCCCACTCAAGGGTCTCACCCCGTGGCCTGCCTCAGGCCCCCCCGGAGGTCCCTGAGAAGGCAGGCCTAAGGGGCAGGGGGCTGTCAGAAGGCTCAGGCACTGCTGGGGGAAAGGGGAAGAGCCTCCCGGAGAAACACTGGGGCCAAACTCCGTGGGTCTCCATCAGGGCCTCCAGCAGGCCTGAGTTCTGGAAGCTCATAGGACCTTGGGATAAGCCCGGGAGGGGCCTTGTCCTCCTCTGCCACCTTCCCAGCTGCTGGTTGGGCCAGTGAGAGACACTGGACTCCCAGCTGTAGCTTCCTCTGTGGTGGGGGAGGGTGATGCACCCTCCACCTGCCTCCAACCCATCAGCACTGCTTCCTACACAATCGGCATTGTCACTGGACCAAACCCCGGGCCCAGGGCCCCTCGGCAGGGTAAGAAGATGGCATTCTTCTGTGGCAGAAAGTGCTCGTGGCGACGCTCGGTGTTCCCCACATGCGATGGGCCACGCTAGGCGGTGCCCCCACATCCGGGGCCTTCAGGTGCCATCCTGCTGCTCGGGCCAGACACACCCTCGCCCTCCTCATGCAGGGCTCTCCCAGGCCTCAGGTCCCCGCGGGCAAGGATGGCGGCCTCCAGGGACTGATACCCCTCCATCCTTCCACTCCTCCCATCCCCTCACTCTCCATCAGGTCTCCAACCCTGGCTTCCCCGTTCACAAACGCCCCAGGAAAAGGAAGGTTAAGCCCTAAATATAAACCAGATGGAAGCAGCTCTGGAACAAACAGTACAAGTAGCCAGTGGCAGGCAGAGGGGGTGTGAGGTGGCACTGGCGGAGGGGAGGGAATGGCATGCAGCACTGGAATCCCTTAGGAGGGGAGGGGTCCCCATCGCTCCCCAAGGTGTGTGAGGGGTTGTGGGGAAGGGGGACTCAGAGAAGCAGGGTCTCTGGGCTGGGCCTTGTGGCTTCCTGTGTGCTCTGTGGGCCCGAGCCGTCAGAGGGAGATGAAGTCCATGGCCTGCAGGAGAGGCAGAGAGAGGAGCAGCAGCAGCAGCCACGAGGTGTTCTGGATCAGCAGGCTTATGCCCCCACACCTGACCAGTTTATCTGTGGCGAGAGAATGGGGCGGACAGGCAGGGCGGGAATGGAGAGGGGCTGGACCCAGAGCAAGGGTGCTTTCCCCTGGGGAGGCTGGCGCCATGGCGTCTTGGCTGCAACCAGGGCCAGCCTGGTTGAACCAACCATCTTTCCCATTTGCAGGTTCCGGAGCCCTTGAAGGGCTTCCCTGGTGGTAAAGAATCTGCCTGCAACGCAGGAGACACAGGTTGGATCCCTGGGTTGGGAAGATCCCCTGGAGAAGGGAATGGCAACCCAGTCCAGTATTCTTGCCTGGAGAATTTCACGGACAGAGCCCAGTGGGCTACAATCCATGAGGTCACAGAGTCGGACACGACTGGTGACCAACACTTTTTTTTTTTTCTCCTGAGCCCTTGAACGCATATCATCACAAGAAAACTGCGGGTGAGGTAGCTAGAGCCATCCTGTTGTCCAGGTGGGGAGAAGGAGGTTTGGGGAGGCCCAGTGATTTGCCCATGCTCATAGGGGAAGCATCCACCACACTACTCCACCTGTCTGACTGTCCCCTTAGCCCTTCCCCCATTCAGGCTGGAGGTAGTGATTCCCCTGGGCACAGGCGGCCGTAGGGGACAGGGGAGAGAGCTTATGGTGCTACTCTTCTCTGGGGCCCCACCAAGAGGCCTGCCTGGTGCCTCAGCCGGCCCATTCCTCCCCAGCTTGCCTCTGCCTGCCTACCTGATATTGCTGGGGGCTTGCCTCACCTCTGAACACAGAGACATCCTTGTTGGAGATGGTGGGATTCGGGCCGGAGAGGCGGAGTTCACACGTGTAGACCCCCTCATCCTTGGTGGTGAAGTTGGACAGGTAGAGGACCTTGAGGTTGTACTTGCTGAGGAATTTGGTTCGGGAGCTGTATTCTGGCCTGGTGACCCCATTGGAGCCAGAAAGCACCCACTTCTTTGTATCACGGGTCAGGCTGAACTCGTACTGCATGGGCGTGGTGGTGGTATTCTCATGATGGCAGTCTAGACGAAGGCTCTGGTTCACCAGGCAGGCTGTCAGGCTGGTCACCTTCTGCCCACGGGCCACCTGTAAGACTGGAACCAGCACTGCCCCCCTCCAAGCTGGGGAGGACCTATAGAGCAGGGGGCCTCCCACCCACATTCACAGCAGAGGAAGGCCTGACCAGGGAGGGCACAAGGGTCTGCTGCCGAGCGCCTCTCCTGAGGGCCAGTGTACCTTCCCTTCTGCAGTTTCCAGCCCATCTCCCTCTGTTCTATCCTGGGGTCCGCCAGTGTGTTCCAGGGGCAGGAGATCTTGGGCGAGTTTACACTACATCTTGATCTGCATTTGCAGATTCCAACTCAGTATGGGGCTGGCTTAGTGAACTGTGTTTCTAGAAATGGTCCCAGGTGGTCAGAAAATCAACTAGGTTGCTCAGCTGTCTTAGGGGTAAAAGAAGCCCTTTCTCCCTTAGTCACCTACACCTTCTCAGTTCTTGAGGAAGAAGCTGGAATCCCAGCCCTATCCCTTGCCCGATACCTGTCAGCAGGAGGGCGATGCCGATGGTAGGGTTCATGGTGCCAAGAGCTCAGTCCGGGATCTGGGGTGGAACAAGATGGGAATCAGCCAGGAGGTAGGGCAGGTGTGCCCAGACTTACTGCCAGGGCTGGGGGCCCTCGGGAGACATCCCATAATGGCCATCCAAGCCCCTCTCTACAGCTCTCTCCCCTCCCCACCTCAGTGTATGTGACACTGCCGCAGCTCTTCCCTGTCAGGGAAAGCGAGGGGGTGGGAGAACACACCCTTCTGTGGTGTGTGTGTATGCGAACATTTACTAGCTGGGTGGCTTTGAATAAGTGACTTTAACTCGATCATTTCCAAGGCAGGGATAGCCTACTTTTTTTATCGTAAAATTTGCAGAAACACAATTTATCTTAACCATATATATATAAAAAAAAATTGGCTGCATCAGGCAGCATGGAGTCTTAACTGCTGGACCACCAGGAAGTCCCTGTTAATTGTTTTTAAGTGTACAGTTCAGAAATGTTAAGTTCACCCACACTGTACTGCAGCCAATCTCCAGAACCCTTTTGTTGAGGAAACTAAAATGGAGGAAGTCTTGTTCAGGCTTCAGAAGCAGGAGAGCAGGCCTCTGACCTGCCTGGACGCTGCCCGGATTCTGTGCGTTCCTGCAAGCACAGCTAGTCAGGCGACACTTTAGTTAAGGAAAAAGAACGGGTCTTGGAATTCCTGAACCCCTGAGGGTCTGGCCAATCCGCCAGGGTCTAGTGAAATCCTATGACTCATAAGGTGAAACAAACAGCATTGTAAGAAGGTTAAATACGTAAAACCAGAAGAGCATTTTTGCATGCAAACAAATGGTGCTATCACTGTAAGGCCTGGGATTATAAGCAGGAACCCCCAAAACTGCAATTTGAAGTCTCACCCGCTAAGTGGACACTTAGCCTGGGACACTTTCCCAACTGGGACTCCAGACTACTGTTACTTGGGACTTCCCAGTGCTGTTTAAGTCTGGATGTTGGTTGGCCCAATTTGGTGATGTATGTGCTGTTTCTATTTCTCTTTTCTTTTAATGACTATATATTGAAATTAAGTTAAATAAGCCTCTATTAAATATTGAAATTGTTTATGTATTTGTGGTTTCTTTTGTTAAGGATCCTTTGATCTGAAATGAAAGTTCAGCAAGACACCTTTTCATCTTGCAAAAACCAGAACTCTCTACCCATGAAACAAAACCTTATTCAGGGCCTTCCTAGCTCTTATTCTGAAGAAACTCCCCAATGCCCAAACAGTTCCTGGCATATAACAGATGCCTGAAAGATACTGAATGAACCTGGCTTTAGATACCCACCGGGTTGTGATGGGGCTTAAGGAAAACGACAAACATCTAGCACTGTTCAAGAGTTAAGTGATCCACAAGAGTTCATCTTTGATCAGCTGTGTGGCTGGAGATGATGGCTGGGTGGTCGGTCATGAGTGTGGGGGGCCCCACTTGGCACACAGCTAAACGTGTCTCCGATTGTGTGTGTGGAAGGTGACAGTGGTCTCCTATTGCATGTGTTCTCTGCATCGGAACCAAGACATTTTCTATTGTTCAGCTCTCTGGGCAGGATTCCTAGACCTGCAATTTTCCAGTCCGGCTTCTGGTAGCCTCTCTGCCCCCATCTTTTTTTTAAAGCCTGGGCTCAATCAGTATCCTGGCGAGGCAACAGAGCGGGTAGACTAGCCTGTCTGCAGCAGCACTAGCCAGGGAGAGGCCACAGGAGGGCCGTGCCCGGGTGCTAGCGCTCCCGTGCGCAGTGCGCGCCGCTAGCCGCGTCCAGGTCCCCGGCGCTCTGCCCAGGGCGGGGAGGGAGGGGCGAGGCTGGGGTCCCCGGGCGCCTGCGCTGCAGTCAGTTCCCTTTCAGACCTCCGCCGAAAGGGACCCGGAGGTGCTGTTGGGGAAGAAACGGGGAGGGGGGTAACATCTGGTTTTGATTAGCAGACACCGAGTTGCAGAGGCGGGTGGCGAGCTTGGGATCTAGAGAGGAAGGGGGGAGGTGGCTAGAACTAGAAAGGAAAGAAATGGGGCTGGAGCTGGAAGGGGATGCAGAGCGGAAGGGTGGGGTGGACGCTATAGGGGAGGCACCGTCTGTTAGCATTTCCCTGGCCTGGTGTCCCCGCAGCTCAGAACCCGGAGAAGCTTCGCGCTCCCTCCCGCTCTAGCTCGCATTCGACTAACCCCACCCTTATTCCGTTTCCCTATTCCAAGTCTCTTTTTTCCCAATTGAGGTCCCCCTTCCCCCTCGCTTATCCTTTTCCGGTTCTCGCCTTCCCTGTCTGCAGGCCTTTCTCCCGGTCCCCCGCCACCCCACCCGGCCCCGCGGCACTGCGGTTTCCCGTTCCTTGGATGCCCCGCACCCAGCCCGCCGCGAGGTCGCAGGGCAGAGATTGCCTTCAGTTTTCGGTCCTCCGTTCCCCTAGTCTCACCCCGCCTCACCACCCCCGCCTTTACGATCTGGGTTTGGGTATATCTGGGTGGAGAGCAGAATCCGAGCCTGTCCTTGCCGCCCTCTTCCCGGTTCTCCTCCAGCACTCCAGTCCCAGGTAAACGTCTCCCAGCGGGCGAAAGGTGCGCCGCGGCTCCCGCCCCTGCCTTGCAGGCAGGCCCCTCTCCAAGCACTGCGCAGCTCCTTCCCAGGGCGCCCTCGGTCCGTTTTCCGAAGCCTCGGGTCGGGAGGGCTGGCTTGGGCGCCAGTGACCTATCCATCCCTGCGCCCCGGGTCCCGCCCTGGCTCCAGCTCCCACCTGGCCTCCGGTCCTCCGCCGCTGCAGCCGCCCGCAGACGCGCCGCCGCCTCCAGTTGCTGCACCGTGCCCCGCGCCCGCAGTTTTCACCAGGGGTGGGAGAGGGGGAGCGGGGAGGGCCCGGGGGCTCGGCCAATCAGAGGCTGAGCGGCAGCGAAAAAGGGTGGTGGAGGGAGGAGGAGGCGGTCCGAGATAGACGTGAAAGGGGGGACTTCTGCAGCAAAAGGGGCCGCCATCCTGTGGCCGTCTGGCCTTCTCTGGGTGGGCAGGGTTCTGGACTCTGGAGATCGGGCTGGGGTCGCTCAGGGAACCCTAGCCGCCTCCCAGAGCCCCGCCACGACCACTCCCCTTTTAAGGCTTAAATCCTTTCTTTTGACCTAGGTTTCAGAAGCCTGAGCGAAAACCGAAAATCGAGGGGGTAAGGAATGGTGGATGGAAGCCAGCTGCTGGGTCCCCTTAGGCAGCGCCTACGCCTCCTCTTTTCCGTTTCAGCTAGAACCTATCTCTGCGGGAGAAGCCAGTGAGAGGTGTTTGGTGTTGGAATATTCCAGGTTTTCTCCAAAGGAAGATAGTGGGGTGTTTTTCCACATGGCAGCAGCCCTCAAGGGCAGCACTTGGTTTTTCCTGGTCCCCAGCCCTGCCCCAACTCCTCACCCAGCCTAGAACACCCATCTCTTAAGAGGCTTTCTGCTCTGGGGCACTGTGTTCCTCAACTCTGGGGCTGGCACTTCCTGGTGCAGACAGCTAGAAGGTTCTTCTCAATTTCATGTTTCCCTCTTACCCCTCACACCCACCCAAGTCCCTGAGTGCTGTCCTCGGCCTTCAGACAAGAGGAGGGGTGCCGCCCTTTATAAAACACTCTGCTTGGCCCGTTCCATCCATGGCCACAATCTACTGGTATCATTTCATCCCATTTCATGGCTAAGAGGTGGAGAGATGGCCCGTTGCCCTGGGCTATGGAGCCCCAAGTCTTTGGAGCCCCAAGTCTTTGGTGCTGAGCTATATTCCACTGCTGCATCTCAGCCCAGGGGAAGTGGAAATTCTGGAACTGTGGGAAGGGAGAGGAGACAGGACCACTAGAAAGAATAGCAGATACCACGCTTTTAATCCTCTGGGGTATCTGTCCTTGCTCCATTTATTTGAAGTCACCAGAAGCCCTTGGACTTTTTTTTTTAAATAGCCAGTGCTGATTTGTGTCTCCAATTTTTTTTTTTTTTTTTGGGAACAAAGGTTTATTTGATTAATTTGCATCCTTGTGGCCTCTTTGTGAATTCTGGTTGGGACATCCTGTGGGCTGACCCTGCCCCCCCACCCCCCGCCCCCTGCCTAGCCATTCTCCTGTTTCTTCACAGAGATCGGTGTTGGCACCTTCTCAGCAGTTTCCATTACTGTAATGGTACTGTTGGAAGCCATCCCTGGGCTAGCAAGTGGGAGATTCACCTCCTTCTCCCTCCCTTGGAGGTTAGGTGGCCTCCCAGCACTTAGAGTGATGCAACTTTCTAACTGGAACAAGCCTCACAGATGGTCCAATCCTCAGAGCCTTGGCTCTGGTAAACAGCAGGAGCTCCTGGAGCACTTTATGAGAAAGGGAGCTGCTCCTGCCCACCCAGGATTTCCCTAGCCTAGTAGTAGGGCTGCCTGAGTCTACATTTCCCAGACTTGCAGGACCTGGGAACTGCAGACCATCCTTTTTCATAGATGAGATGACCTGGCTTCTCATTGTCTGGAGAGTACTTTTTAAAAAAAGTACTCATGGATTTAATTTTGGCTGTTCTGAGTCTTTGGTGCTGCACACAGGCTTTCCCTGGTTGTGGTGTGTGGGCTTCTCCTTGCGGTGACCTCCCTTGTTGTGGAGCACCGGCTCTAGAGACCGAGAGCTTCCGTAGTCCCAGCACGTGGGCTCAGTACTTGCACCTGTGGGCCTCAGAGCGCAGGCTCCGGAGTTGAGGCGCACAGGCTTAGTTGCTCCGTGGCATGTGGAACCTGGAATCTTCCCGGACCAGGGGTTGAGCCAGTGTCCTCTGCATCGCAAGGCAGATTCTTAACCGTTGGACCACCAGGAGAGCCCTGGAAGGTACTTCTTAAGTCCCTGGATATCCTGTCCCTGGTGGCCGACCACCACCACCACCTCATCTTTCCCATTCTTCCTGCTGCGTTCTGGACACGCTAGCCTCCTCCTTGGCACTCCACTTTGTCTTCTTTCCTAGCTTTCTTCTCACCAGCTTTCTGGTTCTCAATCCAGGGATCTTTCCTATCAAAACACAGTTGCTTTAGTTGCTTTTGCTTCAGCCTAACCCTGCCTCCTACCCCCACGCATTGGAGATGGTTCTTTTTTCCTTTGGGCAAGACATGAGGATACTCACAGATCCCTTAACAACAGAAAATATCTGGCTTCTATCTGGATAAGACCCTGGCTGCTCTGTTTCCCACTCTATGGCCCAGCCGCTGAGTGCTATTTTGATAAGGTTTCAAGGACCTGGCCTATTTTCTGGGTCCCTAAGCATTTTACTTCAGGAAGGGGAGGGGTGTGTGGCAACGTGTGTCTGCTAAACCAAGGTGTCTGACTGGATGGAGTTAATGGCTCAAATGATCCATTTAGGGGCTGGGATGGAACACAGGGTCCTTATGGGGAGGAGATTTTAAAACTCCCATTTTCTGTTGGCACAGGATAGGAGTGCTGAAAGCAGGAAGGAAGGGTTTATTCACCCAAGGCAAGATTTCCCGACTTACTGTGGCTGCCCTGTGGGTCCCTTAGGTCTTTCCTCTCCCATCACCTCCAGGTGCCCCATCTGGAGATACATGGAGTAATGCTCCTCTCAAAATGCACCTTCCTTTAGGCTAACAAAGGGTCTACCAGCCATTCACTCTACTTCCTGATTTCATCCGATTGTCTATAAAATCACAAAGGCGGCAGAAGCCATCTCGTCATTTTGTAGCTGGAAAATGAGGCCCCAAAAGGATAATGATCTGTCAAAGGTCAGACAAATATTTTGAAACACAGCCAAGACAAGCTAGACTGCAGATCTTCTGACTCCTTGTACAGTACAGACCCACTCCTTCCAGGGTGGGTCTTCAGACTTCTGCTGGACTGACTTCACTGGTCCGGGATGAAATGGCAAAAACAAGGAGGTTGTGGAGTACTCTGAACATGCCTGTCAAGTTGCTACATTGTTTTGATCACCTCTCCTTCACTCTGTTGATAAGGGAGAATTCCCGGATTCCCATCCTAGGGTTTCAGAGATGGTCAAACACATGAAACCTGTTGACTTAACAAAATAGTCACAACCTAAAAGTTAAGAGTTCTGTTTTATTTGGTGGGAATTTTTAGGACTTCAAGCACGGGAGACAGCATCACAAGTGACCCTGAGAGAACTCCCCTCAGGAGGCGAGGGGAGGAGCCAGGTTATAGAGAAGTTTGGCAGGCAGTCTGAACATCAAAAGATTATTGTTAATTAAAGAAAATCAGAATTCTCAAGTTAAGGAATTTAGCACTTTTCTGTGTATGGGAAGGTGCAGGAGTCTGGGCTTGCTCTCTGAAATTATTGCTTTCAGGTGCATCTCAACTATCTGGGGCCAGTATCCTGTGGTTTCACATCCTGAGCATCCTCTCCTCAGGGCTCACCATAGGGAGTGGCTGTAGTCTGATGCTAGGTGGCAGGTATTATTTTCCTTCCTGAGTGCCCTTAGGGCTCCCTAGCTCACCTTGGAGGGCTGTGATTACTGATGACAGGGTAAAGAAGTGGTAGTGGTAAAGAAGCCACCTGCCAATGCAGTAGCTGCAGGAGCTGCAGGAGACGGAGGCTCAGTCCCTGGTCAGGAAGATCCCCTGGAGGAGGAAATGGCAACCCACTCCAGTATTCTTGCCTGGAGAATCCCATGGACTGAGAAGCCTGGTGGGCTCTAGTTCATGGGGTGGTAAAGAGTCAGATATGACTGAGCATGCATGAACTTGATATCCTTGTTTACTGATATGGCAAGAAATAGTCCATGTCTGACCCCTGACACTGTACAGATGTGGCTGACAGCAGTTTATTAGCCACCTATACTCAGAGCCCAGAGGAAGACACCACATGCCAGGCCCTGCCACCCAGGAGCTGCACTCGAACAGTGAACAAACAGGAGCGCTGGAAGGCTTTGCGGTACCCACAGGGTGGAATGCTCATTTCCTGCAGGGGGATATGATTGGCTGGTTTGAATAATTCTGTGGACTGGCAGGGAAGTGAAGGCTGATTCTCAGCGATAAGAAGGAAAAGAGATGGTTAATTGACTAGAGGAACTTATCAACAGAAGCTAATAACTGGGAAATAGAATTTGTGGTTAGACCACTTGAGCCCCCACAATTTGATCAGATGTCAAGACAACACATACTGTTGAGTCCTGATTTTGGTCTAATTGAGGCTACACACGGGCCCTTCCGTGGGATGGTCTGTACTCTCATTCTAAGCTTATACCTTTCTACTTTTTTGAACTAATGGTGGTAGATGGTGTGTTTTAAATGTCCTTTCTAGGCGCAAAAAAAAAAAGTGGTAATTTTCTGTTGCTCCTCAAACTTCTGTGGAAATATGACTAGTCTATGAAATTAAAAAGTCTTGGAACTGCTTGACACTCTCCTGCCTCTCCTAATCTCTAGTTGAGGTCAACTCCCCGAGTGAAGTCACACCCTGAAAAACTGCATGTTTGGTTGGAAAGTATGACAAAAAAGAAGTTTCTCTTAGAATGCAGGGCAGAAGTCCAAGCACTGATGAAGATCACATTTCAACATTTATTCATGAATGTTTATTCAAATAATTAATAGCAATGTGTATCTTTTTGCCAGTTTTTCTAAATGTCCTTTGGACATCTAATAACAGTGTATAAGATACAAAATTTTAAATATATTTGTATAGGATATAAAATAATATAAATTAACATAAATATAAATCTATTTAAATTATTAATGACATCATTCAAGATGCTCCTATTA